CGGGTTTCGAAGCCCTGTTTCCATCGTTGTAAGTCCGCACCCATACCGATGCGCCATTATGGGACCGATCGTTCTAGAACCCACGAGAAACACACCGCTAGTATATAAACGGTTAACAGGTCGCATGACGTGTCATTTCTGGATAGTATTTGTTTGTGAGTGCACTTTGACATTCTTTTTTTCTTTTCAATATTATCTATTCGTTGCTATGGCAACAAGAGGTTGTGTAAATGACCCAAACATATTATGTTATATTTGTGGTAAATTTGTTGTAAATTTGATCTAAGTAAGAGGTTTTTTTTGTCTTTCCGATTTGTAAAAAATCCTTACGTGATAGAAGAAAAAAAAATGAATATTATTTTCAGATCTGCGTAGCTGAATTAGGGAAATTCCGTTATCAAAACCAAAACAACTTTTATGAAGTTTAAATTTGCAGGTCTGTGTAATTGTGATGAGGAAGTTATCGATGCTGCTAGTTCGTATTGGATCGAAAGAAAACCGATTTGCAACTAGATGGCATTTGGCCGTATCGTATTTTTTGTTCTTGGTTTGTATGCTTAGAATCGTTTCTTTTTCTATTTTACGTCGTGATGGATTACACTGTTTACTCAGTTTTCAGCAAAATATAATTAGGATAATTTTCCAATAATTTATTTATTTACTCTCAGTAGATGTCGCAACAGCAAGCGATATGTCTCATCGCATTCAGTTCCTTATCATTATATAGGCCTAGCAAGGTAGTTAGGGCGCTCGACTCGCAATCTGAGAGTCGCGGATTCGAATCCCCGTCCCACTAAACGTGCTCACCCTTTTAGCTGTGGGGGTGTTATAATGTTACGGTCAATCCCTCTATTCTTCGGTAAAGAATAGCCCAAGAGTTGGTGGTGGGTGGTGATGACTAGCCGCCTTCCCTCTAGTTTTTCACTGCGAAATTAGGGACGGCTAACGCAGATAGTCCCCGTGTAGCTTTGCGCGAAATTAGAAACAAACCCTATCATTACCAAGTACTGAAAACACACTAATGTACCGCCTCATTTGTGTAAAATCTATTATAATAATATTCAGTTTTTGTCTGTCCTGAAAATGCGCGCGTATCTTATTATCTTAATGCGCGTGCGATTTAAATATATTTTAGTAGACATCTTGTATAACGATGTATTAAAAGCTTATCAAAACTTTGAAAAAGGTCGTAGAATATAATATTAAGCTTATTTATTGAGCAAGATACATGGTAGTGTGTCATGCAGCCAAAACAACCTGCAGGACACACTGTGTGTTATTTACAGAAGTGATAATTTAGAAGTTTTCCACTTTCTGTATCTCAGTTTGCGCTAATCCAAACTAACACATATTTTCAGTGGATGTGCTCTACTGGACCCTTACTTCACATACCAAATTTAAAGGCAATCCATTAAGAAATACACGAGATATAAAATCTCCAATTTTGATTGAATTT